GTCAGTCTGCAGCCTCGGGCCGGCCTGGCGGCGCGGCGCTGCGCGAGCCGTACCAGGCGGCGCGCGCGTACGAGGCCTCGATGGAGGCGGCGGTCCTCAAGCTGCGCCCGCTCTCCGCCGCGGTGGCCAAGGGGCGGGTGATCGACGGCTTCGGCGCCGCCGCTGACTCGCTGCTCAACGGCACCCTCGCGCACTACGACGACGCTGTCGCAGACGTGAGCGGAGTCACGGCGGAGCTGGTCGCTCGCCGGCGCGCCATCCTCTCCAAGCAGCTGCAGGCGGGGGACAGCCGAGAGACTGCCGAGATGCGCCGCTCCTCTCCAAGACGGCCGACGAGAGCTCGTCTCGAGGTCTCGAGGGCAGGGCGTACCTCGCCTCTCTTCACACCTCCGGCCGTGAACAGGCCGACGTCAAGGAGCTCTTCTCGAAGCAGCAGCGCTCCCTCGCCCGCTCGGTCTGCAAGCGCTACGAGCGTCAGCTGCTCGCCGTCATGGAGCGCGCGGGCAGCGCCGCGCAGTGCACGGCCGACCGCTGTGAACGGCGTCTCTTCACGGCTCTGGCTGCGAGCAGGCAACGTCGCGCAGTACCAGCGCGACCGGCTGCGGAAGAACGCGGAGCGCGCATACGACGCGCAGGTTGCTTCGCTCGTCGTCCCGTCGCTCGGCGTGAACAGCGTCTCTTCACGGCTCCAGCTGTGAACAGGTTGCCTCGCTCGTCGTCCCGTCGCTCGGCGGCCCGACCCGCGCGCAGCTGACGCAGTCCTTTTCGGCGCAACTGACCGCGTTTGCCGACCGGCTGGTCGAGTCGCCCTCGATGCAGCTCCAGGTGCTCGCTCGCCGCCGCATCCGACCTCGCCCAACCTCGCCCAACCTCGCCCAACCTCGCCCAACCTCGCCCAACCTCGCCCAACCTCGCCCAACCTCGCCCTCCAGGCGCTCGGCGCGACTCGCCGCCGCGTCTCGAAGCCCGCAAAGCCGCCGAAGGGGCTCCGCTGGGGCCTCGCCCTCACCGGCGCGATGCGCACCAAGTGGGGGGGCGGCGGCGGCAACCTGCAGACGTTTGCGGGTCAGCAGCACGCCACGAGATGGGGGGGGGCACGTGCATGACACGTGTCTGTGACATGTCCGAGACACGTCCCGTAGGCTACCAGACCCCCGACGGGATGTGGTCGGCGCACGGGCTGCTCGCCAACGACGGCGCCATCGCGGACTCGTCCGGGTCCGAGCCGCCGCCGCTGCGGATGCAGCCGAAGCTCAACGTCGACCTGTCGCTCTGACGCCGCGGCGGCGGTTGCAGGGACCGGCAGGCGGGCGGGCGGTGGAGGGGAGGAGGCGAGAGGGGAGCACCCACCCCCATGCGCAGCGCGGCCAACAATGGGGCTTCGGCGGGAGCTAGGCAGTCGGCAGCCAGGATTACGACAGGGGCATCGGGAGAGAGACACCGGAACGGTGCCGGCGTATTTTGCGCTCTGGCCGCGTCGGCCACGCTCACCCAGGGGGCGTCGGGCGCCCCGCGATACGGGCAGCGATAACTATAAGGGCGAGGCGAAGGGGGTGGGGGGCTTCAGAATACACATCAATAAAAGTCTTGCGGAGCCGGGGCGAGACCCCCGCGGACCAGGGGGGACTTGCGCTCCCCAGCGCGGGCCTAGGGCTAGGCGCCCAGCCCCACAGGGGCTAACGGCGAACGAACGAGGCGCCGCGCGCCCCGCGCGCGGCCTGCCGCCTCGCTCGCTTCGCTCTTCTTTCGCGTTCGGTCTTCCGAGCATTTCGTCTTTCCGTGTGTGCCGTCGCGGGGGCCTCGCGTGTCGCGATCGAGTTCGACAGTGTCGATGTGCTGTGTGCGTCTCTGCTTTCCCCCTCTTTTGGCATTGGTCGCGCTCTCTGAAACTGATTACCTTGGTAATGGTAAGCACATGATCTCCCAGCGCGTCCTTATAATTACAAGCTAATACCCGCGATGGCGCTCCTGCCCGCGCGGTGAGGGCTGGGGCCTAGGAGGAGGCCGGCGGCCGGGCCGTGGCGCGCCGGGCCACATGCACAACTCGAGAGACCGACAAAAACAGCATGGGGCGAAATGTCACTGACAATGAAGCATGCCTCGCGTTGGAATGGTCACACAGGAGACTGGTTGCCGCTCGACATGCCAGACCAGCACCGCGGAGGGGACGAGAGACGGATGCGGGGGCACAAGAGAAGCCGCGGCTGGCCGGCTCAGATGTCGTCGTAGTAGAACTTCTTCTCGACGCGGACGATGCGCGGCTCGGCGGCGGGCGGCAGCTCTCCCTCGGCATCGACCATCATCTTCAGGCGAGGCCGAGAGAGGGTCGGAGTCAGCGGGAGTCAGCAGCGGCGGGCACGCAGCGGCAGGGGAAGGCAGTAGATAGGGAGAAGACAGAGAGAGAGACAGACAGCGAAGCAGCGAGGGCGGTGGCGAGGGGGGCACCTTGACGAGGGCGACGGCGGCGGCGGTCTGCTGCGTGAAGGCCTTGACGTCGAGCGGGCACACGCAGCCCGGCCGCTCGTCGGGCGCCACCTGGAGGGGGAGGGGGGGGGCAGGGGGGCTGTGTGTGTGTGTGTGTGTGGGGGGGGGGGCACACACCCCAGCCGTGCAGGCGGGTCTGAACCTCCGGGAAGGGGTCAAAGTCGGTCTTGTCAAAGGCTTGCTGGCAGACGTCCGAAACCGCGTTGAAGGCGAGCGAAATGGCGAGGTGCTTGAACTTGCGCAGGCTGTCATACGTCACCTGCGCAGAGCCGGGAGGAGGGCCGGGGGAGCAGGCACTGTTTAGGGGGGGGGAGGGGCCAGGGGGGGAGGGTGGGAACAGGGTGGGAGGCCCAGCGTGGCCAGGGTGGAAGGGCCAGGGTGGAAGGGACGGGGTGGGAGCAGGGCGGGAGGGGCCGGGGTGGGAGCAGGTGTGGGGGAGGGCCAGGGATGCCAGGCGCCTTGTCGCCCTTGAGGGTCTCCATCACCTCGGAGTACACGTCCTGCAGGTCCTCCAGGTACACCTGCAGAACGCTGCTCGCGCTCAGCAGGGCGGGCTCTCGGCCGCTTCCTTCCCAGCCGCGCGCGCCTCCAGGAACAGGAAGCGCGTCTTGAGCGACATCTCTGACAGCAGGGTCGGGTTGAGCTTCGTCATCTCGAAGAGCTCCTCGTCGCCCTGCGGAGAGAGGGAGGGGGGCGCGGCGCCGTGTCGGTCTCCGCCCTCTGTTGCGGCGACGTCGGCGGGCTGGCGGCGTGGGAGGGGATGGCACTGGAGACGCGGAGCCGTCGGTTTCGGCCCACCAGGCGCGGTGCCGTGCCGTCGGTTCGGCCCTCCGTGGATGGAGGAGGCGGATTGGAGGCAGCGGGATTGGAGGCGGCGGCGAGGGGCGAGGTGGACGGGCGGCGTGGACGGGCGGCATGGAGGGGCACGGGGTCAGCGCGGCACCGTCGGCACGCCGTCGCTTGCGAGCTGGACCTTGCGCACCGGCCTCGTGGGCCACTCTCCGCCCATGAAGGTGGCGATCTCGTGCGCGAGCGCCTTTGGGTCCTTGGACTTCCAGTTCTCGTCCGCCTGGGCGAGGGCGGCGGAGGTGATAGCAGCGGCGGTGAAGGCAGCGGCGGTGAGGGCGGCGGCGGCGGCGGTGAAAGTTGGAGGTGGTGAGGAGTGGCAGAGGGAGGCGTGCGGCAGTAGTGGAGCAGCGGGGTGGCAGTGGGCCTCGGGGCCAAGGTCCTCCTCCTTCTTCGGGCGACCCATTGTTGGTCCTCCCCCCCCAGCGTTGGTGGCTCAGATGCCGCTCTGCAAAAAAGCGAAATTCAGCAGAGCGAGTTCACGCTGCGCTAGGCTCAGACGGCGAGTTCGCGCTGCGCTAGGCTCAGACCTGAATCACATCAAAAACAAACGTTCACGCCTCCGGAGGGGACGTGGCGTCCTAAAAAGAAAGAAAACACATATCAACTAACCGTAAACCATAGGGGAGGAGGACAGGGTCCCCACCTGCACGAGCAGGATTTTGGAAGGACGATCAGGGGGACAGGTGGGCTCTCCTGCTCCTGACAAGGGACACGACACGCGACAGGCTCGCAGCGCGGTGCACGGGAGAGAGAGATTTTCTTGTGCACGGTGGAATCCCAACTCCAAAGAAAGAAAGAAAAGAAACAGACAACCCAAGGGAGGGATGGGAGGACGGCACGCCGCCACCACACAGGGATTTTAAGGAGAGGTGTGTGATCCAACTCCACTCCCAGCCCTCCGGTGGCTGTTTTCTTTCTTTCTTTGGACGTGTGGCCGCGAGTGGCGTAGTGCCGTATGCTTACTCGTGATTGTGGCAGCCCAGCTGGCTGAGAGTCTTGTGAGCTTGTGTATGTCTGTGTGTCGCTCGAGCGTGTCGTCGTCATCTGTCTCGCGTCCACCCATAGCCATTCCGCTGCGCGCTGGTTTCCAGTCCAAGCCTGACTATTCTTCACCCACCTTCCTACAGACATACATACCTCCGTGTCGCGATGCGCTCCGCTCCGTTCCCCTGTGTCCCTGATCGTCCTACACGATTTTCAACCATATTTCTCGCACGAACTTGACCGCCCGCCGTTCACCGTGTGCCCGATACATCCAGCCCCGACGCACGGCAGGGCTGCCGTATCCCGACCAGCCGACGAACCAAGCCCCGCCCTCCCAAACCTCTCTCCCGTTGGCTAGCTCGCTGGTCGATGCTCAGCGGCCGCGGCTCGCACGCCAAGGGCGGTCGACCCACAAGGCTCGTGCAGGAGGAGAGCGAGAGCGAGGTGTGCTCCCCCTCCGCCGCTGTGCCAGGAGTTGCACTGCCACACGCGAGTTGCTGCATCGCGCACGAGACCAAGGCCCGCCAAGAGCCCCCGACCCTAGCCGAGCCAGGCGTCCCTCTTTCGTGACGCAGGAGAGCAGCACCGATGAGCAGGGCAGCGAAGAGAGTTTTGCCATGGAGAGTGGCGCAGAGGAGGGCGAGGACCTGGACGGCCTCGACGACGTGGATGACGACGAGTACGACCTGGAGCGGGGAGAACGGAGCAGCGAGGACGAGGAGGAGGAGGACGGGGACGAGAGCGACGGTAGATATCAGGACGAGGATGAGGCCGACGACGACGAGGAGGAGGAGGCGGAGGAGGAGGAGGAGGAGGATGACCTGCCGCTCAAGCTAGACATCCCACCGCTTGACGGAGCCGCGGGTTGCAGCGCCGACACTGGTGCTGACGCAATCGAGGGCGGCGGCTGGGTCTACTTTTACCAGGCGGTCGTTGTCTTCTTCTTTATGATGACGCCAACCTACTTTTGGTACCGGTGGATCTACACGATCGAGTGGGACGTCCCCTACCGGCTCTACTACCAGAGCACCATCTGCGTCGCGGAGATGTTTGGCTCGATCTGCGTCATGATGCTGGCGGTGATCCGATTCCCGCAGCCGTGGGCCTACAACCAGCAGCCTCCGGCGGTCGAGGTTGGCCCAAAGCTGCCGCGCTACAATGTGCACGTGCTCGTGCCCTGCTACAACGAGCCGTCGGACATCGTGCTCGCGACGTGCGAGGCCGCCCTCGCCCTCACGCACCCGTGGGCAAAGGTGATGGTGTATCTCCTCGACGACGGGAGGAACCTGCAGCGCGAGAAGACGGTGATCAACATGGGGAACGAGCGCCTCATCTACGTGGCCCGGCCAAAGTACCCCGGCCTGCCCGTGCACGGCAAGGCGGGCAACCTGAACCACACCCTCAAGTTCGTCATCTTTGCGCAGCGCGTACCGCGCGAGAACGACGTGGTTGTGGTCTTCGACGCCGACATGAAGGCGCACCCCAACTTCTTGCATCACACGCTCCCCTACCTCGAAGAGGACCCGCGCACCGCGCTGGTGCAGACGCCGCAGCACTTCTTCAACGTCGACCACACCGGCGACATCTTCAACCACCAGAACTGCACCTTCTTCTTTGGAGTGCAGACGGGCCTCGACGCCTGGCGCGCGACCGTCTGCTGCGGCACCAACTTTTGTGTCCGTGCTTCCGCGCTCGCGGCCGTCGGCTGGTTTCCCACCGAGTCGATCACCGAGGACTTTCTGCTCTCGCTCAAGGTGACCGCCTCCGGGTGGCACTGCCGCTACCACGGCCACGTCCTGGTCACGGGGGAGGCGCCGGAGGACTTGCGCCAGATCTTCAAGCAGCGCTCGCGCTGGTGCACCGGCTGTTTCCAGGTCTTCTTCCAGGTGGAGACCTTCATGTGGGTGCGGCAGCTGCCCAGTATCCAGATGCTCTGCTACTTCAACTCGATCATGGGCTACCTCTCGACCATCATCTGCTTCCCCGTCTTTTTCGTGGTGCGCAGCGCCTCCTCCGTATCCGCCACAGCCACCTCCACCACGGCCCTCTGGACGTCTGCCCTAGGAGACTCCGTCGAGGACCTGCCACTATCCGAATGTCCACCACCCTCCCCCTCACCCCCTCACCCCACCCGCCCCTCAGCACCCGACGTCGTCTCACTCCCGCCCTTAGGTTCCGATCGTGTCGGTCTACACGAAGACCCATCCCGTCAAGGAGCTCACCACACTGCTCACGCTCCTCTGGGCCGGCTACTTCGCCTCGATGGCGGTGGTCATCGAGATGATGCCACGCAACTTCAACCGCTTCTCCGGCTTCCTCGGCTCCAAGGTCAACTACATCATGTGGTGGTGCTTCCTCAAGGGGATGTGGAAGGCGGTGCGTGGCCGCCTCGGGCTGCGTAAGATTGTCTTCAAGGTGACGGAGAAGAAGGGCGACGGCAAAAAGAAGCTGGAGGGGGAGGAGCAGCGGCCGAGCGACAAGGACGGCCTGCTGGACGGGGAGGCGAAGCGCGAGTCGGGCTACACCGACGCCGAGGTGGCGCTCATGTACGGGCTCGTGGACGAGGCGGGCGAGTATGACGAGGATGCGGTTCTCGCGATCCAGGAGGAGCTGGCCGAGGCGGAGGCGGCGATGAGCACCGAGAAGCGCGACTCGACCAAGCACGACCTCAAGTTTCACTGGGGAATCTTTGTCATCTCGTTCATCGTGGCCGTGGCGGGAGGCGTCTCCAAGACGCTCGACACGCTGCAGTGGGGCTGGGACAACACAGTGCTAGCTAACGTCTCGGTGGCGTGGGTCGTGATCAACATGGTGCCCTTTGGCATGGCGCTCGGGTACGCCTATCTGCCTCACCAGAGACAGGTGCATGGGCTGCTAGTGTCGCTCTCCTGGAGCGTGTACGCGCTCGGCGTCCTCTTTGCGTTCGCGGCCATGGTGACCAAGGTTGCATACGGCAACCCACGCTGGATGTAAGTTGGCCTCCAGCCAGTGTTTTTACGTCGATCCGGGTGGACCTCGAACCCCGATGTACTTGGGTGGGCTCGAGACATCTTGTCCTGTATACATACGTTCGTTGCGCTGTCGATGGTGTGCTCGTTCGACGTGTGTAACGTGCTGGGCGTGTGTGGCCACACACAGTCACTCCGTGAGAGACGACACCTCTCGCGCTGCAACCATCGTGTGAGTCAGCGAGATTCTCACACCACACACGCCACGCCCCACGCACGCCCCACGCACGTGCAAAATTTGACCCGGGGGATGCGGAAACACCTCGCCCTCCTAGTACTCTAAGCCCACACACGGCACTCATCACTGACACACACACAGCACCCTCTAGTTCACCAACCCGCACGTTCGACACCCGTCTTGGGCAGCACCTTGGGAGCGCAGCCTTGGCCGCGGCGTCGGGCAACACTCTGGTGTGGTCGCGCCTCACGACGCCCCCCCCTCCGCGCGGCCTCGTCCGAAGAAGCGCTTGCCGGCCTCGTACGAGCAGATGGTGATGGCGCAGCTCGGCGCGACCTTGAGCACCCTCGGGCCCAGCCCAGCAAAGAGCGCGCCCACCCCCTCCGCGCGAACGATGTGCGCCAGCTCGGCGGCCGTGGTCAGACCGCCGCCCCCGCCGCCCCCGCCGCCCTCCACCGCGCCCATCGTCCGCACCACCCCTCGAGCCACCCCGCCCCCGAGCGGCGCGTCGCCGCCTCGCGGCCCGCCCAGCACGGCGGTGCCGCCGCCGCACGCCGCAGCTTCGACCATGACTCCGCCCGCCACCGCAAACGACGCGGGGGGGGCGGGGGGGGCGGCGGCGGCGGCGGCGGCCTGCATCGACGTGCGCCGGAGCTGCTGGCGCGTCTTGACGACGTCGAGGGGCGTGGTGAGGAAGGCGGCGGTGGAGCCTTGTTTGCGAGCACCATGGAGAGTCAGAGGGCATAAAGACGGTGCAGGCGTGCCGCCGCGGTGCAGCACCGCGTGGGCGGGAACGGGTGCATCTGGGGAGATTTGGGGAGATTTGGGGAGATCTCTTCCGCATCTAGGCGGCCGAGCCCGACGCGGCGCCGGCGAGGAAGGCAGCCGCGGGCGAGAGGGTCGCGCCTGCCAGGAACGCTCCGAGAAAGTTCACGGAAGGTTCTCAAGAGGGCGGCCGCGGGGCGAGAGGGTCGCGCCGTCGGCTGAAGCCGCCGTCGCGCGCCGCTTGAGCGCCTCGTACCCGACCTGTGGAGAAGAGGTGCGCGGGCGGGGCTCGTGGCACCACCGAAGGCCGCGAGGGGTGCGGGATGTGGTGGGCGAGAGACGGGCGAGGGAGGCCGGAGTGTCTGGGACGTGTCTGGGACGTGTCTGGGACGTGTCTCTGAGGTGTCTCCAAGGTGTCTCCGAGGTGTCTTGGACGTGTCTCGCTCGTCAGTGTCTCTGATATGTCTCTGAGCTGTCTCTGAGCTGTCCTGTCTGAGCTGTCTCGGAGGTGTCTTGGAGGTGTCACGGCGAGGCGACCGCACCCAGTACAAGCAAGAGAAAGGCACGTCTCGGAGAAGCGTCGCGCTCAGCCCTCGCCACAGGGCGAGGACGCCCTCCTCGGCGACCACCGCCCGCAGCGCGCCGCCCACGCCGCCCGCCGCCCCGCCCGCCGCCCCGCCCGCCGGCGCGGCCTGCATGCGGGTGCGGAGCAGCTCGAGCGGCGCCGCAACAACGACGGTGACGACGCGAGCGGAGCCGCCGGCGAGCATGGGGGCGAGGCTCGCCAGGGCGCCTCCGCCGCCGTTGCGGCGGCGCGCCGCCGCCGCCTGGATCGCGTCGCGGATGTGCTCGTAGGCGCCCATGTAGAGAACAGTGGAGGGCACAGCCATAAGGAGCGTCGGGCGAAGCCCTGCCCAGAAGGCCGTCGCGCCCTCTGCCCGCACGAGCGTCTGCCCCAGCTGGACCATCCCGCACTCCGCCGCGCTGCCGCACGCCTGCTGCCGCACCTTCAACACCTCGAACGGCGTCACGAAGAGCGACGTCACGACAGCGCCGACAGACGCCGAGGCGGCGTTCTGCATATTTCGCTGGCGAGGAGTCGAAGCGGGCAAGGGGCGAGGCGGAGAAGAAGGAGGTCTGTCCTGATTGATCATCACTGGAGGAGCCGGAGCGTAGGAGCGCGGAGCGGAGGAGCTCGGATCAGAGGAGCGCGGAGCGGATCAGAGGAGCGCGGATCGGATCAGAGGAGCGCGGAGCGGATCAGAAAGGCGCGGAGCGGATCAGAGGAGCGCGGAGAGGCGGTGCCGGTTCCTCTCCCTCTCTCCGGGCTTCCCAAGAAATCCTCGACATTCAACCACGGGCGGTGACGGCAGCCCCGGGCAGCCGCCATTCATCACTCGAACGCGCTCATTCAAGTTCCCCGGAGCTAGTAGTAATACGGCAGCCCCGGCCAGCGGCCGTTGCTTTCTTTTGCTCGAGGCGGGGCTGTTGTGGGCGGTGAGGGAGGAGCGAGCGGCCCTCGCCACACATACACCAAGCCTGGCGTGGGGTGATACGGGGGCGACGCACGGAGGGGTCGCGCTCTGTCAAGAGTCGATTCGAGGCTCAGTCAGGGTCCCACGGAGTCCCACAAGTGTGTGCGAGAGCGGGGAGAGCGTGGAGGTCTGTGCGGCTGAGAGGGGCGAGGGACCGGGTGACGCCCACGCACGTGATGGGCACGGCAGCTCAACGTTCAAGCGCGATTTGTGGAGATGCGGTGTGTGCGCTCGAGCGTCTCACCTCGTGTCCGCCCATGCCGGTGGAGAACCGTGACGAACCACGCAGTGTAAGTGATGAGCTTGTGCAATTTGCAGCAACAGCCACCGCGGCCGCGGCTCAACAATATCAGCAATCCGTGTGTACCACATAGTTATATTTTTTTCAAGGTGCCGCCCAAATTGTGCTCTGTGGTCGGCTGGTCCTTGTCACAGCCACAGCCCTTTCGATGCCTGTCACGGCCCTTTCGATACTTGCCACGGTCTCAGTTACTCCGCCTCAGCTTCCGCAGCCTCAGCGGGAGCTGCTAATCACAAGTGCCGAGGAGCTGCAAAGCGCCTTCGCCGCAGCTGCAGCTCGGCCGGCAGTCTTTCTCCGTCTTGCCGGCACCATCGAAATCGATTCGACTTTTGAGATAACGACCGACGTAACGCTGCGCGGCAGTGGCGATGCGCAGCTGGTCTCTTCGGGCCCACGCCTGTTTCGAGTCAACGGCGGCCGGCTCAGACTGGCGGCACTGCACCTCTCTGGCGCTGGCGGCACTGCCGCCGACGGCGTGGGTGGTGGCGCGGCGCTAGTGGAGAGTGGAGGTGAGCTGGCCCTCACCGACGTCAACGTATCCAACTGCTCCGCTCCGGCTGGCCGCGGTGGCGCCATCCTCGTGCGCGATGGCCACCTCGATGCCCGCGGCGGCAGCTTCATCCGCTGTTCTGCAGAGTTCGGCGGGGCGATCGCTCTGGAGGGCAACCAGAGCAGCGCGGCGGTCCGAACGGCAGTTTTGGAGGGCTGCTTCGCATCCGCTGCGGGTGGAGCAGTCTGGATGGGGGGAGGCGACCTCGTGCTCGACGGCTGCCGCCTCCGCCGCTGCGGCACTACCCTCGTCAGCACCTCGAGCGTCGCCGGAGGCCCTGACCGGCTCGGCGTGGTTGGGTGGTACGACCAGGCCGACTGGAGGGCGACGGCGCCGCGCGGGGGCGGGCTAAGCGTCGAGGCCGGGGATGCGAGGCTCGTCGGCACGACAGTCGACAGGTGCTACTCTGTCATCGGCGGCGGGCTCCATTTCGACGCCGGGCGCGGATCCCTCGAGGACAGCGAGGTGGCGCGGTGCGAGGCGGACCTCGCGGGAGGGTGCGTGGTCACCAAGGCGGCGGCCGTTCGGTTGACCGGCTCGTCGCTACGCGGCTGCACCGCGCAGCTGGCCGCGTCGCTGCTGGCGGTGGGCAGGCTCGACGAGGGCGCCGGCGGAGAGGTTCTCCTGGGCAACGGCAGCCTCCTCGACCCTTCGGGCGCAGAGGGACTCGCGTGGAACCAGTCAGAAGTGGAGCCGCTCCACGTCCTGAGCGGCGCAGTCTACTACGCGCTGCCGGCGCCGCCCGGCTACTGGCTCCACCTACCGCTTCAGGACACTTGCCACGTCGCGCGAGAGGCGTGCCCCGCCGACGCGGCGTGCGAGGCGCACTTCGCAGAGTGCCGGCTCCGCGCGGAGGGAGGGCCGCACTGCACGGCCCCGCTCGGAGCGTGGCAGCAGCCGTGCAACTGGCGGGCCAGCCCGTGGCTGCTGGGCGAGCGGCTCTTCACCTTCTACCAGGGCGTCAAGTACTTTGAGACCTTCCCGACCGCATGTCGTCCCGGCAGGCTCGGGGGCACCGCTGACGCCGAGCAGAGCAGCGCTCAGTGCGCGGGCCCTTGCCCTGCCGGAGCCTTCTGCAGCGGCCACGCCAACGTTGAGCCGGTGCCGTGCCCGGCCGGCGGCTACTGCCCCGCCGGCAGCGCTGCCCCCGTCCGCTGCCCCGCCGGCAGCTTCTCGAACGCCACTGGCCAGGCCTCCGAGGACGCGTGTCTGCCGTGCTCTGTCGGCCACGCCTGCTCTGCATTGCCCGGAGGCGCGCTGCGAAGCCTGCCCTCACCCTGTGAGCCGGGGAGCTACGCCAACGCCAGCGGCGCCGTGGCTTGCGACCGTTGCCCCTCGGGCCACTTTTGCGAGGCGGGGGCGATCGAGCCCAGCCCGTGCCAACAAGGCAGCTTCCTCCCGTACGGCGGCATGGACAGCCGCGACGACTGCATCCTCTGCCCCCTCGGCCACGTCGCCAACGAGACAGGCTCCGAAAGCTGCGGCATGTGCCCGCCGGGCACTTTTGCCGACTCGCCCGGCCTGGCCGCATGTGAGCGGTGCGGCCGGGGAGGCTACTGCACTGACGCAGGTGCCACCACAGGCACAGTGCGATCCCTCTGCCCGGCGGGCTCGTACAACCCAGAGCCGGGCGCGAGCTCGGTCGAGGCGTGCCTGCCCTGCCCCGCGGGCAGCCACGGCCCGGAGAACGGCGCCTCGCGGCTGGAGCAGTGCCTGCCTTGCACGCCCGGCGAGTTTGCAGACGGTGCGGGTCGGACTCGCTGCAGCCTCTGCCCTGCTGGGACCTTCGCCAACAGCTCGGGTGCGACCGGCTGCTACGCCTGCTCCGAGGGGCACTACAGCGCGGAGGGGATGGCACGCTGCGTGGCGTGCGACACCAGGCTGACGAGCGACCGGAACGCCTCCGCCTGCCTCCTCTGCAGCGAGGGCCGGTTCCTCGACCGGCCACAGTCGGCGATCGAGCGGCTGGCGAATACGTCCGCCACCTTCCTGCAGGAGCAACCGTCCCTGTGCGCCGACTGCCCGCCGAACGCCACCTGCGACCGGGGCGGCACGCTCGCCTCGCTCGGCCTGCCGGTCAACACGTGGCGCCTCTCGACACGAACGACGGACATCAAGCAGTGCCGCACCAAGGCCGAGGCGTCGGCGCTCTCCTTTCTGGCGGGTGAGTCCTCCTTCTTGCGCAGCGCCGCCGCCGACGCGGCTCAGCTCGCCGAGTCCGACATCGATCGGCTCAACGGGCGCTACCGCTCGCCCTGTGTCGGGGGCGCCGGCGACAGCCTGTGCTTTCCGGGCCACACCGGCGTGCGGTGCGAGGTGTGCGAGCTCCCGTCGCAGCACTTTGATCGGCGCCACCTCAAGTGCACCGACTGCCCGACCGCGGCGGCGCTACTGCGCGAGCACGCGTGGGTCTTTGTCGTGCTGCTGGCGGTCGGCCTCGCGCGCCTCGCCCACCGGCTAAGCGGGCGGCTGAAGAGCCTCTCCCGCTGGTTCTTTGTGTGCGCCCTGCCAAAGATCGGGCTCGTCGGCAAGCTCAAGATCTTCCTCTCCTTCTACCAGGTCTTTGACACGCTCGAGCCGGTGTACGGCGTCGACGTCGCTGTCCCGGGCTACCGCCAGTTCCTCGAGACGGTGAGGCTCCTAGCGTTTGAGTGGGTGTTCGACCCCGAGCTTCTGCACAGCACCTGCCTCGGCCCGATTGGCACGCGCATGGCAACGTGGATTCTCTGGCCTTTTGCGCTCGCCGTGGCGTGGATCCTCTGTGCGGTGGCAATCCCGGCGCTGTACCACGGATACCGTGCGGCCGCCGACTTGGAGGAGCAGCGCGCGGCGGCTGCCTCGACCTGCGTGCTGCGCGCCTCCGTCATCATCGCGTACGCCTGCCTGCCGACCGTGGCTAAGAACGTCTTCAACGCGAAGCAGTGCGAGTCCTTCCGCCTCGACGACGAGCTCGGGGAGACGCAGTCTTACCTGCGCGCCGACTGGCGCATCGAGTGCGGCAGCGCCGAGTACGAGGCGCTGCAGCCGCTCTTCTGGGCGGGCTTCCTTCTCTGGCCAGTCGGAGTACCCCTCTGCTTCCTGTCGCTGCTGCTCGCCGCGCGCCGCTGCATCGTCTCGCGGCGGCAGTCGCGGCTCGCAGAGGCGCTCCGCTTCCTGTGGGGCGAGTACCAGCCGCGACAGTACTGGTGGGAATGTCTCGACACGATGCGCAAGCTCTGCCTCGCCTGCTACATGCTGTTTGTCCAGACGGAGGACGGGTCCACGAAGCTGCTCCGGCTCTACCTCGCCACGCTCGGCACGACGATGTACCTCTCGGTCCTCTGCTTCGCGCAGCCGTTTGCGCGGGTGGACGACTTCCAACTCGCGGTGGGCGCCAACCTGGTCCTCGCCTCGACCTTCCTCTCGGGCATCGCAATCAAGATCTGCACCGACGCCGGCGGCGCCTCCGTCGCGTCGGAGGAGTGCGCCGCGTACTTCGGGATCGACTCTGCAGAGGACATCACCACCGTCGCAATCGTCCTCGGCGGCGCGATGCTCGCGGTCCTCTCGTTGGTGGTGACGTGGCGCATAGTGGCCTCGGCGCGCGACCCGACAATCCGACTCGTCTTCAGCGGCCGCGAGCCAATCCTCGAGCTGCCAAAGGGCTGCAGCTTCCACGGCTTCCTTTCGCACGTCTGGGGCACCGGCCAGGACCAAGCACACACGATCGTGCGGCAGCTGCAGTTGCTGATGCCCGGCGTCCGGATCTGGCTAGACGTCGACAACCTCTCCAACCTCGCCTCCCTCGAGAGCTGCGTCGCCGACTCGGCCGCCGTGCTTGTCTTCCTCTCGGCGGGCTACTTCAAGAGCGGCAACTGCCGGCGCGAGCTGTACGCGGCGATGGAGCAGGGCAAGCCACTGGTGGTGGTGCGCGAGGGCAACGAGGAGAAGGGTGGGGGCAGCGCCGCCGACTTCCGTGCTGAGTGCGCTGCGTATTGCTCGGACGCGGCCGCCGGCGTCGCAGAGGCCGTCTTTGCGCGCGAGCTGATCGTCTGGCTGCGCGCGCACGAGTTCCAGCGCGAGTCGCTGAAGCAGATCGCCCACCAGCTGCTCGCGGCCTCGCCCTCCTTTGCGCGTCCCGCCGGGGTGCACCAGCTGGCTCCCGGCCTCTTCATCCCTGGAGAGCTCGGCTGCATGCGCTTCGAGGTTCCGGTCCACTTGCTGGTGTGCGAGGCCAACGCGGGCGCCCCCCGCTTCGCGACCCAGCTTCAGCAGGCGGTGGACGAGGACGAGCTGATGGCGCCGCGCAGTACCTGGGAGCAGCACACGCCCTTCACGCCGCGCGCTGGCAGAGGCGCGCGCCGCGCGCGCGCACTGCTGCTACAGGACGGCCGCGCTGCCCTCGCGGCGCTGCCAGATCTCGCCTCGCTCAGCTGTCGGTTGCCATCCCGTGGCTCTGCCGTCTCGACTGCGGGCCACCGGCGATCCACCGCCGCCGCCGCCGCCGCCGCCGCAGCCGCAGCCGCCGCCGCCGCCGCCGAGGCCCGGGCGCAGCTCGCTCCGAATACGCGCGCGCTGCTCTACCTCAACAACGAGACCTTCCGCGACCCGGGCGGGGGGACGGCCAGCTTCGTCAGGCGCGTGCTCGAGTTGGGCGTGCCGCTGGTGATGGTGCACGAAAAGGACCCGGACGGGGGCGGCGCCCCGTTTCATACGCTCTTCCAGCAGACGCCCGAGGACCTCGTGCGTCAGAAGCGCCTCTTCGACGACCTCGCCATCGACCTGCACGCCGCACCGGCGCACCGAACGGTGTCGCTCCGCCTGGCGATGCGCGCGCTCGGAGCCAAGCCCGCAAGGCGGCGACGTCTCGCGCCGCTGCGGTGGGGCTGGCTCGCGGCGCGGTGGTGGCTCGGCTGGCGCGGGGCGCAAGAGGCTTCGCTGTCCGAGGCGAGCACGTCCGGCTCGCGGAGCGGGAAGAAGGCGAAGCTAGATTGTGGTCGGAACACCCCTGCTGAGCGTGTTTAAATGAACTGGGTTGTGCTGCGCTAGTTCATCGATGCACGATGCTCGATGGGCTTTCCCCCAACCCCCAAGTCCTGGAGTGATTCGACTCCACACAAGTCACAACCCGGAGAGGTGACAGGATGCTGGCTCGGTGGTCTCAGGCCCAGTGAGGTACAGGTAGTGCACACCCGGAGCAGGACTCCGGTAAAGTACTGCTAAGAAAGTACTAAAGCCGTAACTCCCACACACTCGACACTCGTCTCTCGTCACTCGTGCTATATTACAAAATTTACAAGCGCTCGCGGAGCCGAGCCAAAGTAGCCCTGAGGTGCCCTGAGCACATATGCGAGCACCCATGGTCATAAAGCCGTATCTCTTCTTGCGGGGGGGGGGGGGGGGGGCGGGACCCCATACCCGGGTAGAACGTGCGTGCATTGATTGGCCCGGCGGGGTTTGGTCGCCTGCCTTGATGTAGGATTGCGAGCGTGGGTGGGTGCTAGCAATCGTACAGGGATGCTACGATTGCGAGGAGTGCTGCTCACAATCCTTCGACTTCTAGGATTGAGAGAGTGGCGTGCTTTACTTTTTCGGCTCAGCCTTATTTGAGCCCCCCGCGAGTCCACCTGCTGCACCAACTGCAAAAATGGCCGACGAGGAGGCCGAGATCGCGCGCTGGCGCGGCGTCGCTCCGGCGCTCTTCGACGAGTGCGACGGGCGTGGCATCTCCGAGTACGCGGTGCTCAACGCCCTGCAGCTCATCGAGCGCGGCCAGCTCGGCTCGATCGAGGAGGCGCGGCTGCAGCTGCTGCGGCAGCACGAGGAGAAGGCGGCGATCCGTGAGAAGATGCGGCTGGCGATGGCGCAGCGGGCGGTGCCGGCGCCGGAGCCCGATCCCGAGCCGGCGCCGGCAGAGGACGCCGTCGCCGATGCCGCCGCCTCCAGCGCCGCCGCCGACCTGCTGCCGGTGTGGGTCTATGTGAAAGAGCACCTCGCCCGTCGGCGAGAGCAGCTGTGGCACGCCCTCTGCACCGAGTACGCGGCGCGCGCCGGCGCAAAGGTCGACGAGATCGATCGCGCCGTGCGGGAGGCCCTCCTCCAGCGCTTTGGGCCGCTCGAGACGGCTCTGGCCGCTGCCGCCGAAGGCCATGAAGGGGAGGCGCCGGAAGAGGCGGCGGCGGTGCTCCGCGCCGCCCTCGCGGCGGCCGGCGGCGAGGCGTGGCCCGCCGAGCTAGCCGCGCTGGTGCTGCAGGGCCTCGGCCTTGACTTCGCACCCGCAGCGGCCGCCAAGCCAGCGGCCGCCAAGCCAGCGGCCGCCAAGAGGGGCGGATCCGCCGGCAAGGCGGCGGCGGAGAAGGCGGAGGAGAGGGCGGAGGAGACGGCGGCGCCTGCGGACGGCCCGTCGGCCTACCGCACGGCCGCCGAGCTGGCGGACGACATCCGCGCGAAGCCTGGCCACCGTCCGTGAGACGCGTCCGTGACATGTGTCCGAAGGGATGCCGTCGTGTAGGCGGGCGAGTTTCGCGCAAAGCTGGAGGGCGCCGCGGCCGCGCAGCTGGAGGAGCTCTGCGCGCCGGTAGCCGACTCTTCCCTCGCCCACGACATCGGCGCGGCGGCGCCGCTCGCGCGAGTCTCGACGGTGCCCGACCCCGGGGGGGGGGGGGGGAGTAGAGCAGTGTGCGGCCCTCACAGCCTCCACACAGCCTCCACACAGCTCCACACAGCTCCACACAGCTCCACACAGCCTCCACACAGCCTCCACACAGCTCCACACAGCCTCCACACAGCCTCCACACAGCTCCACACAGCTCCACACAGCACAACACAGCACAACACAGCACAACACAGCTCCATACAGTCTCTACGGCACCGACAGCCTCATACAGAACCGTGCAGCCCCATACAGCACCGTGCAGCCCCATACAGTCTGCCAGTGCGTGGTCTTGTCGTCCGGCTGGCGCTCGAGAGGACACGGGCGCTGCAGGTGCCCGACGCTCCGTTTGTCCGCTCGCTGCTCGGCGGGCTCGAGTGCGCCATCTGCTCGGCGCTGCCCGAGGAGCCCCGCGCCACGCCCCCACGCCACGCAGTGCGGACACCTCGGGGACCATCCCCCACTCACTCACGCGTCGATGCATGCACAGGAGCCCTGCACCACGCAGTGCGGGCACTCCTTCTGCCTCGGCTGCTTCCACGACGTGTGCGCGCAGGGGACGCGTCGCTGCCCTATGTGCCGCGAGGCGGTGGGCGCCATCTCGCGCTACGTCGCGCCCAACCGCGTGCAGGCCGAGCTCGTCCGCCAGCTCACCGCCGCGGCCGAGCAGCCGAGCGCTCCGCTGCAGCTGGGCGAGCTGCGTGAGACGCTGCGCTGTCCGGCGTGCAAGCTGGTCATGGGGGGCGCCGTCTCGGCACCCACCGGCGACTCCTCTCGCGGTGTGAGGTGGTGCGCTCCCTCAACTTGCGTGCACGCTCGCGGGAGGCTGGCTGTAGGGGACTCCTTTTGCGGCGGCTGCTTCACGCACCTCGCCCGTGGCGACGGCGCTGGCACCTCTCGCGCGCCCGACGAGCGAGTTCACGCGAGGTCAGGCCCGAGGTGAGACGAGAGTAGGCGCCGCGCTCGCGCCGTACGTGCCCGACGAGCGCGCGCGCCGCGCCCTCGTCGGCACCCGCCCGGAGCTGCGCCGAATCTCGGCCCGCCTCCCAGCTGCGGCGTGCAATCTCGGGTGATCTCGGGCGAGTAGGCATCCGCTCGAAGCTGCGCGTCAACGTGGCGCTGCAGTCGGCGATCGAGGCGCTTTTCCCGGCCGAGACACGCATCGCCCCCGCCGTGCGGCAGCGCGCGCTGCGCGGCGAGCGGTCTCGGCGCCACGGCCGGACTTGTCCGGGACGTGTCCCGGACGTGTCAATGACACGCCCCTTTAGGCGATCCGCTGGATGGACGGCCGGCGCTGCGGTTGGCGAGGCCGGCGCGCGGGGGCGGCGAGGTGCGACCGACGGAACGATGGAAGAGAGCGGGGGGAGGGTGGGGGGGGGAGGGGAAGGGTCGCCACGGCCGGGGGAGGAGTTCACGCAAGAGGGGAAGGTTCTCCTTGCCGGTAGGAGCTGACGGCAGAGGAGCGCGAGGCGCGCCGCAAGGAGCGCGAGGCCGAGCGGGTGCAGGCGTTGCTCGCGGCGGGCAAGGACGTGTACGCCGGCGAGCGAGACAACGCCGGCACGCCCGCCACCTCGCGCTTCCGTGACGGGGGCGAGAGACTTCCGCGAACCTTCTCGGAGCCTTCCTGCAGGCATGCCCGACATCTCGCACCTCTGCGACGGGAAGGGGCGGCCGCTCAAGCACAACCGGTCGTGCCACGTGTGCACCCAGGTCTGCACACCCGCGTACATTGGGCCCTGCACCGAGTGCCGGCCCAGTTCCCGCCTGTCTCGGCGTGGAGAAGCGAGGGAGTACGGGAGTGCCTGGCCCTTGCCCCCACCGCTCCGTGTTTGGGAGAGAATTGCCTCCCATCCTCGCCCTACTGTGTGCCGTACCTCGCGCAGGGCAACGCCTCGTGGCGCGGCGGCTTCTTCCAGCCTCTCGGCTGCTCGAAGTGCGAGAAGATCTACTGCCCGCGCTGCATCGGCAACATCCAGGCCAAGCCCGAGAGAGAGCCCGAGAGGGCCCGAGAGAGGGCCCGAGAGAGGGCCCGAGAGGGCCCGAGAGGACTAACGCGCTGCATCGGCAACCCTCCACAGGGCAAGCCATACGCCGAGCACAAGGAGGAGATCGACCAGTTCATTGAGGAGCACAAGCTGTCGTACGAGTGCGTCTGCTGCGAGAACAAGTGCGCGTGCCAGGCCAAGGAGTTCGAGCCGCTCGAGGTGATCTCCTCGTCGGCGGACAAGTGCGCCGTGCTGCGCGTCTCGGCCAAGCACCCCTTCAAGCCGGGCGACAAGGTGCGCGTCACCGGCCACCACGGCAGCTGCCGCGACGACGAGCTCAAGAAGGGCGAATGGGCCGTCAAGCAGTCTCTCTCGCCAACCTCCTTCTCGATCGAGCTCGACTTGCGCAAGGGCGGCGGCAAGGGCGGCAAGGTGGAGATGGTCAAACTGCAAAAGCACAAGCGGTGGGGCTGGGCCGGCGCGACCGGCTTCGGCATCCAGAAGGATGCTCCGGCGGGCAAAAAGTATTGCCCTCCAGCCAAGCGGCCAAGCGGGGCGAAGGATGCGCCGCCTAGCAAGAGGCAGGCGGCGGCGGGCAAGAGCAAGGTCGAGGCGAAGCCTGCCAAGGCGCACCTCACCAAGCAGTGGCCGCAGTCGAGCCCCGCCAGGGGGCGCGCACGAGCGGGCGCATAGGCCGGCTGCGCGGGGGCGCCGACTGATCCTGCAGAGGCGATAGGCCGGTTGGTGATGATGAGGCTGGGCCTGGCGTGCTCTGAGCTCGCTGAGCAGTAGTCAGCGCGTGCACCAGCTCACGTAGCCGTACTCCTTTCTTCCAGTTCCCGCTGCTGTGACTGTCGTGTGCGGGCCGCGATGCCATAGTACAACAGCCTCTCCCCGCCACCCCCACGCCAGACCCCAGACCGCAGACGCCACCTGCCTGTGCCACGTCCCCCACCCAGCCAGGGCCCGGGCGCCCAGGGGCCCAGCCGCGGCGCGCCCCCGCGCGCGGCAAACCGGCCCACCTCCCCGTGTTCGCTTTTTTATTTATGAGCATTAATTGATGCCCCCTACTCGCTACTGAGTACTGTCCCCAGGCCTAAAAAGTCTGCACACGACCCCGGCGTGAACACGACTAACTGACGGATCCGCTCCTGACAGTGGCACGCAGCGTGGCGGGTGGCGGGCGTGCCACATTGTCTTTGTTTGAAGTAAAAAGTCAAGCTGCTGTACGGCCCCGGCATCGCCTTCCCAGGCTTAGCTAGATTGAGAGATATTGTGCACATGGTTCTTTTCTACAATATATACACTGACACTGAACCTCCCAGAGCTCGTCCCGGTCCGTCACGGCCATCCTTGGCCTCCGGAGGGCCCCCGGCCGCGGCGCGGTGCGGCGGCGTCACAAATGTCCGACCACAGAGCACCGGGACGCGGTTGGGCGATCCGAGGCCCAACTAGGCGTATGCATTGTCTATCCAGGGCTATCACCTGGACCTATCAACAGGCGCCTGCGGCGCCGTGCTCAGGAGCTGCTGCTCCAACCTGTTCACACTTTCGTACCGCACAGTACCATCACCACAAAGATGAAAGAACCCTGATGTCCCTTGTGCACAAAATATATCGCACGGCGCACGGGGGCGGGGAGGCCTCGTGTACACGTCTTCCTTTCTTTTTACCCATCTCACTTCCCATCTCACTTCCCATCTCGACTTGCCCGTTGTCAACATCACTAGGGAGATTTGATTGGCGCTGGCGCCTGCTGTTGACAAGTGGGATCATCTGGCTTCCGGAATACTTCCGCGAAGCTGCCCCCAGCAGGCGTTTGACCAAAATCCAAATTTCCCTACTCCAGTTGAGGCGGCCCTCGGACCCGAGAAGGTCTTTTCTCGCAGCTGCGAGACATGCTTTCTCGGAGCGGGGCATCCAAAACAACAGGGCGGAAGGGAGGGGTGACCATACGCGCAGCGCAGGAGGGGTGCCCCTAAGGGGGCACAAAGGTAGCTCAAAGGGGAGTGAACAAGACGCCGCACAGGCGACGTGCACGCTCGCCGCCTGCGCTCGCCGCGTCGCTCTCTCCCTCCCCTTCTTTGCTTGAACCCACCACCATCCCCTGTCACCTCCGTGTGTGTGTGCCTGCTGGGGGATCATCTGGCTTCCGGAATACTTCCGCGAAGCTGCCCCCAGCAGGCGTTTGACCAAAATCCAAATTTCCCTACTCCAGTTGAGGCGGCCCTCGGACCCGAGAAAGATATTTCCCTCTGGTTCCACCCAGCGCCTGCGCTCGGCGAAGGCCGCGAAAAATTAGAGCCCGCGAAATCGCTGCTGCGTCAGGACGCGAGTACCTCGCGAGAAGCCGTTCAAGCCCGGCCATCCTCACCCCCCGAAGCAGCTGTGGCCGCGATTTCAGCCGGTCTCGTGACCGCCCCGCCCCGGCAGGCGCGCGTTTGAGCGAGGCCGTCGTGCAGCGCACCGAGAAGGGGCCGGTCGCGCGCAGCGCCACGCCGCAGGCGTCCGCCGGAGGCCCGCCGGAGGCTGTATGCGGCGGCCACTTCCCCTCGGTCTTTCGCCGCGCTCCGGCCGCACCTTGGCTCCTGGCCGTCTCCTCCGAGTGGCTTTGCGCGCCCCCAACATTCCCCTGACAGCAGCGCCTCACGGCGTGGGCTGCGAGGTCACTCGGGGTGACCCAGGGGGCGGCGGGGGAGCACTCTTCCGCCGGAGTATCGACGGTCTTCCCGCTACTCGCCCGTTTAAGGTGCATCCACGCCCCGCCCACCACCTTCCCGGCAGCCCCCGCTCGGTGACGTCCTCATCTTCTCCCCCCTTGCCCCGCCCCCCTTCAGGCAAGGCCCTGGCCACCAAACTCGCGCTCGTCGCTCCGGAAACGGGCAGCAGCGCGACGCTTTTCGAGAGCGAGCGGCGGCGGCGGCTCAGCACCAACCTTTGCAACGCAGGGGCTGGCTGCGTGGGCCCCCACCACCGGACTCCGTCGGGTTCGCGTCTCCCTACCCACTGAGGGGAGCGCAGTGTGTGTCTGTGTCTGTGTCTGTGTCCCTGTCGTGTCGTGTGTGTCGTGTGTAACTCTCGCACTGCTCTGTCTTAGCTCTCGCCACAGGCTCAGCCTCGCCTCTCCGCCCGCACGCTCGACGCACACGACAGAACCCGGACGACGTGCGTTTTTGCTTCTCTACAAAACACGCACACCCACGCCCGCCCCAGTCAGCGGACCCAGCGCCATCGAGAACAAAGACTTTGGCGAGCCAACGCAGCCGAGAGATAAATTCTCCGCAAGAGAGCCGCCGTACGGGGAGTAGCGGTGCAGAGCGCGAACTCGCCGTACTGAGCCTAGCGCAGCGCGAACACGCCGTCTGAGCCTAGCGCAGCGCGAACTCGCTCCTGTTCATAGCTGCGCAACCCTAGCCTAGCTCCATTTTATTTATCCTCTAGCGACATGGAGAAGTCGCTGTCGGCTCGCGAGAAGGCGGTATCGATGTTGCACCCGCCCATCTCGGTCGGCAGCTGTGCCTGGAGCCACGCGAGGTCGCGGAGCGCCTGGGGCGAGGCGTCGGCGCGAGCAATGCTCATGTTGTTTGAGAGTGGTGAGTGCCGGCCGGACGGAGCAAGCAAGAAACCACGGCGCGGGGTGGGTGAGGGGTGTGGAAAGGCTTAGACACGGCGGCGTGATCGCGTGCAGCGACATCCATACATACGTACGTAAGAAAACAGGATGCCGCCGTTTCTAAGCCTTTCCATCCAGCCAGACCCCTCACCCGGCCTCGAGTTTCTTGTTTCGGCCGGCACTCAAGGTCCGGGCTCCTACCTAGCCGGATACGGGGTCTGTTGCCACTGGCTGGCCTCTCCCAGCCAGATAGGTAGGACGCAGGTAGGTTGGGCTTGCTTGTTTCGCCCGAAAGGGCCCTGAAGGGAAGGGACTCCCTATTCTGCAAAGGGGTGTGAATAGGAGGTATTTTCTTCTCAATAACAAGGCTGTGTGAACGGAGAGAGCAAACTCCCCCCTGCGGCCGGCCAGCTTGCGAATGTATATACACACATATGCCGACAGAGGACGAGGGCGGTCGGAGCGAATTGCAACAATCGCCGGTCGAGGGCGTGGCCGTGCCAACAGCTGGGGCTGCCGCAGGCGCTGGGGCTGCCGCAGGCGCTGCGGCTGCCGCAGGGTGTGCGCTCGCCACCACCACTGGAGCCTCGATTTCCTTCCCGTGCGGGCAGTGTGTTGTTCGCTGCGTCACCACGCTCCCACCCGCTGCGGGCTTAGGCGGCGCTCCTATGCGGCTGTCGCGAGTGCGAGGGCGTCGCTCGTGGCTGCCGACGCGGCAGCGGCGAGAGCCGTCGGCGAGCACGCTGCGGGCTTGTCGAGGGCGGCGAGGGCGGTCCCGGTCGCCACCGCGGTCCCCGTCAACCGGGGCCCGGTGGCGGTGGGGACCGCGGTGGCGGTGGGCGTGCAGCCTGGGTGGGGCGAAGACTCGATCCTCCCGGCGGGTGACCTGCGCAGCGCGTGCTGCTGCCTCATCGCCCTCTCGTTGCTGCAGATCTTCACGCTGCAGGTTTGAAGGAGGGGCCGCGGGTTAGCCGTTGCCTCACCACACAGTAGAAAATACGGTTCCACCGACAAAAATTCCTTCCCCGTATGCAAGGGCTCGCTCGGGCTGGCGGTCGGAGGGCTGCTGCTGTGCGGGCGGCTCGACGCGCGGCTGCTCTCGCAGCGCCTCTTCTTCCTGCGCCTCTGTGCGGTGCTGATCCGAGTCCTCTGCGCCCTCGCCATCTTCCGGTCGAGCGTTGCGCTGCTCCGCCTCTACCACCACCCGCCCGAGGCGAGGGGAGATTGCCCCGAGATCGGCCGAGATCGGCCGAGATGGCGTCTACCGCTGCTCCGCCTCGACCATCACCCGCCAAGGGAGGCTCGCTCGCACGCGCCTCAGCAGATTGAAGCCCTGCTTGAAGCCCTGCTTGAAGCCCTGCTTGAAGCCCTGCTTGAAGCCCTGAAGGCTCACGGCTGACCGTTAGGTGTGCTCTCACACCTGCCTCTCCGCGGCTGACGGCGAATGCGACGACGGCGGTGCCGACGCGCCGTACGACTCTTGCGTGCTGGGCACCGACTGCTCGGACTGCGGCAGCCGCCTCAACTACGTGCAGGCGGTCGTCACGCTGCACGGGCTGAGCGGCGCGCTCTCCCTCGCGCTCGTGATTGCGTCGGACCGCGTCGTGGGGCGGGCGCAGGAGCTGCACCTGCTGAGCCTCGCCGCGATGGAGGGCGTGCTGCTCTGACGCCGTGTTGCAGAGGACCCTCGACATATTCGTTTTACCCGATTTCGCCACACCGATCGCCGTTTCGCTTTTCGGTTTTTGCGGCGGAGTTGGCAGAGTTGCGAGACAGTTTTCCCACCGAGCTCGAAACCGACCGCGGAGGCGGTGAAATCCTTCGGGAAAACAAACGCAAAACGTTCGCTAGGAACGAAACACAAGAAAATCCCCGTTTTCCCTTGCGGCGTGTGTACACGCATTGTGTGTGGAGTGTGCGGCCATACTTTGTGTACGTGTGCGCGCTCTCTCACTCCGCATCGGCAATGCCCCGGATGCCGAGCTCGTCTAGCTGCCTCACCGCGTCCGCCGGCGAGCGCGCGTCCGGGCGGCGGCGGGCGTAGCCGCCGGCTGGCAGCCCGCCCGCCACGCCGAGCAGCCCGTCCGACGCCGCCAGCCCCGCGGGCGAGACGACGGTGCCAACCTCGCGCAGCAGCGCGAGCAGCAGCGGCCGCGACCGCTCCGAGACCAACTCGGCGAAGGCGTCTGTCTGCACGACGGCGGCGAAGTGGCGGACGATGAATGCCGTCGCCTGGGCGCGCAGCGCCGGCGCCTGGCACGATTCGCGGCGAGACATAGCCGAGATACAGCCGAGAGACAGCCGAGAGACAGCCGAGAGGGAGCCGAGAGGGAGCCGAGAGGCGAGATGGCGGCACCTGGTACGAGTCGGCGGCGGAGAGGACCGCCGCGGCGTTCTCGGGCGTCAAGCTGCGGCCGATGATCTCCGCAGCGGCCCTCTTGAGCGGCTCGACGCCGTAGAGGTTGGCGGCGGCGAGCACCTCGAGCCAGAGCAGCGGTCAGAAGACACGACTCGCAATCATCGGGGCAGTGGCCATGAGTGGAGGCTGGCGGCGGCGAGCACCTCGAGCGCCGCCTCGGCGTTCATCTCGCGCGGCCGGCCAGAGTACAAGTAGTGCAGCACCTGACCTCGGGTGATCTCGGGTGATCTCGGGGCATCTCGGGGCATCTCGGGCCATCTCGGGGCATCTCGGGTCATCTCGGGTGATCTCGGGTGATCTCGGGTGATCGCAGGTCATCGCAAGCCAGAGACCAGGCAGCGACCTGCTTGAAGGCCGCGTGCGAGACGCCCTCGATGCGCACTGTCTGTGCCGCCGCCTCGGCGTAGCCGGAGGTGAACATGCGCCGAAAGTACTCGCAGCGCGCAAA